AAAATTTTGATAATGTACATCTGGCTGTGTCTATATTACACCAATTTTTTTCTTGAAATGATAAATATTAGATGAAATGGTGTTATAGCCCAATAACACGCACTCATGACATAAAGCCATGTAAAGTTTATGTTGCTTTGTCAGTGAAGGCAGTGCGTGTCACAGAACAATAAACACTACTTTTTTTTGTAAACATGAATATAGATTTATTTACGTATTTTTCTTCTTTCTTGCATGAGATATTTTTCTGGGCAAGCTTTCCGTGTAACAAATCTATGTATTCTAAAGTTTAACGATTTAGGAAAATAGTTTCCCCAAATCAGTTATTGAAATCATCGTAATTTGTTACAATGAACATTGTAGCTCAGCAAGTGACTGTGACCCGAGGTAATTGGTTCGAATCCTTACCGTCAATGAGACCATGGACTGGTCTGCACTGTAGTGGTCGTCCTTGGGTTATTTATCCCAATAGTCCTGGACAGCATGTGCCGGACATCCTGCATAATGCTCAATAAGTTACAATCACAGCGAGACCCTAAAGTCATCGGTGGACAAAGTATTGTATCAGTGAAGTGACGTAAAGAATCGACATCTTTTTTATTTTCACGATAAGAAATATAGAATAAGAAATAGACATGAATAAGTATAACAAAATATACATAAATCATCCCGAGTTTCGTGCTTTGACAAAACAAATAGACAATATGATCACGTTCCTTCTGTCTATCCCATGTATGAATGCTTACTGTATCCTAACATTATCAGTAGTAACGAAACGTTGATAGTGATACCTTGACCAGTCTGTCGTCACATCAACGCTGCTACAACGGAGAGAAAGGAAACAAATTAAATACGGTTCTACCTGTACTGTTTAACGTTAACACAAAACAATATCTCAAGGTATCATGTTCACTCTGTGCATCGGAACAGGAAGAAGAAAGCCGGACATCTGATGATTTGTACGCACGGTGGAAGGGAGGCAACTCTTTGTAAGTGAATGTCACCAAGTTTGACCACCAAACAAACAAAATAAACCCCAAAAACTGCGGGGCTACATGTGAATATCCCTCGGGAAACACGTTTCCATTCTCTGGTTTTATTCATCAATGAAAGAATTGATGTCTACTTATTTATTTCGTTAAGAGAGGGGGTTTATGAAAGTAAGCATTGGCCTGTTGTTATAGCTTTTTTTTCTATTTCGTCGTGAAAAAAAATGTGATATCAATAAAAAAAACCTCCATTCGGTATTCCATGAATAATCATGGCCTATGTTTCCTTTGAACATGTAAGGTAAAGTCATGCGTTGTTTATAACATTGGCACTCTAATTAAACAGAACAAATAATTGTAATCGGACAAAATAGTACACATAATTTTTATCAGTGTAATAAGATTGTAGAACATTTATTTGTTGATGATAAAAATCCTTGATTTATCCTTTCGGTTAAAATTAACGAAGAAAGACTTGTCTACCTTTAACACCGGTATTGTGTTTACATGGATTATATCGCATTCATAAAGGTATGAATGTCATTTTTATATGAAATATTTCTATTGAGACGAAAACGTTCTTCATATACGTATTCACTGCCACCAAAAGAAATTCATTCGGAAGCCATCCTCGATACTAGAGGGGTTACGATCTCCTTCGCTCTCTACACCCCTGGAACCATCCTCGATACTAGAGGGGTTACGATCTCCTTCGCTCTCTACACCCTTGGAACCATCCTCGATACTAGAGGGGTTACGATCTCCTTCGCTCTCTTCACCCCTGGAACCATCCTCGATACTAGAGGGGTTACGATCTCCTTCGCTCTCTACACACCTGGAACCATCCTCGATACTAGAGGGGTCATGATCACCTTAGCTCTCTGCACCCCTGGAACCATCCTCGATACTCCAGGGGTCATGGTCACCTTAGCTCTCTGTTCCTTGGAACCATCCTCGATACTCCAGGGGTCATGATCACCTTCGCTCTCTGCTCCCCTGAAACCATCCTCGATACTCCAGGGGTCATGATCACCTTCGCTCTCTGTTCGCTGAAACCATCCTCGATACTCCAGGGGTCATGATCACCTTCGCTCTCTGTTCCCCTGAAACCATCCTCGATAATACTGAGGTTACGATCACTTTCGCTTTTGGTACCCCTGGAACCATCCTAGATACTGCAGGGGTTATGATCACCTTCGCTATCTGTACTCCTTGAACCATCCTAGATACTGCAGGGGTTACGATCACTTTCGCTCTCTGTACTCCTGGAGCCATCCTCGATACTACAGGGGTTACGATCACCTTCGCTCTCTGTCCCCCTGGAACCATCCTCGATACTGCAGGGGTTACGATCACTTTCGCTCTCTGTACTCCTGGAGCCATCCTCGATACTACAGGGGTTACGATCACCTTCGCTCTCTGTCCCCCTGGAACCATCCTCGATACTACAGGGGTTACGATCACCTTCGCTCTCTGTCCCCCTGGAACCATCCTCGATACTACAGGGGTTACGATCACCTTCGCTCTCTGTTCCCCTGGAACCATCCTCGATACTACAGGGGTTACGACCACTTTCGCTCTCTACGCCCCTGAAACAATCCTCGATACTACAGGGGTTACGCTCAACTTTGCTCTCTGAACCCCTGCAACAAACATGGGAAAATTGAAGGTTCCATTTGCGAAATTTTGTGGACAAGATGAAAAGACTAGTCAAATTAATTCTCTCGTGACTTCAATTATGCCATGAAATGTTCCAGGAGTGTGGAGACCGAAACATCCTCGATACTCCAGGGGTTGCGATCATGGCACAGAGGTAACGCACTCGTCGTTCACTTAGCCGTCCTGGGTTCGATTCCCAGAACGATCGTAAAAAGGTAGGTTGTCAATCGCCTGACCATCTGGGGTTTTCTCGGGTTCTCGGGTTTCTGCCCAAAGGAAGACCCTCGGGCGTTTACATCCGGGCCAGCAAAAGTGATTTGAATAAGTTGTATAAATCGTACTGTTAAATAAAATATATATTATATTATGTCTGTCGTTTATCTAATACTTTGCTAGCGTTACTAAAACACAGGTTACGAGTTTATTTCGTTTTTAACCAGGGGACGTTGTAAACGTGTATTTGTAGGTGAAGGGAAGTAACTCTAGCAAATATTTCTTCGACTTGAGCAATCATGTTTGTTTACAATAAAAGTTATACTGTGCACTGGACGGCTTTTCGTACGACATCCTCTGTAATCTTCTGTATAACGGAGAAGACCATATCCTATCTGAAACTGCTTGTCTGGTCATTTCACACAGAAGTAGTGATTACTTTCCTACGGCGTAGTGAAGATATGGGTGTTCTAAACGGTTATCAGTTTGTCTATTCGTCTCTCTGTCTGTCAGTTCACTTTCTTATCTTAGCACAATATCTTAAGGTTTATTGGGCCTATTGCACTCAAAATTTTGACAAATTCTTGGAAGGCGGTGCTTGTGTGAGAGTGATTTTCGGGTCCTGAAGTCAAATGTTGAGGTCACTGTTACTATAAATATTTCTGCAAAATATTTTCACTTTTTGATGATAGCACGAAGAATGTCTTTATTGCTAGCTCTCAGGGGTCAAATGTCAAGGTCGTTACTATAGATAAGAAGGGAGATATACAGCAAAACATATAACTGAATGTTACCAGCAAATATTTGTACATAAGAAAGCGTTATTGACTGAAATGTAAAGACAAAAATCAATGTAACACCCAGTTTTAAAGTCTGGCACAATGCTAGGCCCTTCCTGGCGTGTGGCAGTGCTCAAGTTTCACCTTGATTTGAATATTTTGAATCGATGACTGATAATAAATCACGTGCTTAGGACAAATGTACACCTTAGAAACTGGAGCATGCAAAAAAAACCCATTATTTTCCAAAGTAAGAGGTGTGATGTTTTCTAATGTATTGGACTGGAATATGATGTCAGATTAATGAACTCGACGAACACAGAATATCGTTTGCTGCATTTCACAAAACAAATTATAAATTTCAATGAAAATGTTAGAACGAAATTGAAATCAGTTTAAATCCGATAGTATTCAAGATCGCGCGAAGATTGATTTACTATTAATAGAGTATCACGTAAATTTATTTAACACGAACAAATTATGAATATCACGTTTATCTGTCCAACATTGACAGAGTGTAGATATCACGTTTATCTGTCCAACATTGACAGAGTGTAGATATCACGTTTATCTGTCCAACATTGACAGAGTGTAGATATCACGTTTATCTGTCCAACATTGACAGAGTGTAGATATCACGTTTATCTGTCCAACATTGACAGAGTGTAGATATCACGTTTATCTGTCCAACATTGACAGAGTGTAGATATCACGTTTATCTGTCCAACATTGACAGAGTGTAGATATCACTTTTATTTAACATTGACAGAGTGTAGATATCACGTTTATCTGTCCAACGTTGACAGAGTGTAGATATCACTTTTATTTAACATTGACAGAGTGTAGATATCACGTTTATTTAACATTGACAGAGTGTAGATATCACGTTTATCTGTCCAACATTGACAGAGTGTAGATATCACGTTTATCTGTCCAACATTGACAGAGTGTAGATATCACGTTTATTTAACATTGACAGAGTGTAGATATCACGTTTATTTATTTAACATTGACAGAGTGTAGATATCACGTTTATTTATTTAACATTGACAGAGTGTAGATATCACGTTTATTTATTGAACATTGACAGAGTGTGAATATTACGTAAGCTTTAATGGAAATTTATCGATCATTGACAGCGTGTGAATATCACATTTATATATACAACATTGACAGATTGTGAATCTCACGTTAATTTTTTCAGCGCTGTAAATATCACGTTAATTTCAATGTAAATGTATTTAAGATTGACAGAGAGTGGGAAATTTATTCAACATTTTGATAATCGTTGTAGTATGAAACCGATTCCTAAATAAACAAATCATTACGGTTTATTTTTGGTGATTCTCTCGTGGTAAGGTCAATGCCAGTGATGACTGTTGATAAGATGCTGAGCACGTGCGACTACGTCATTGCTGTAGTCATTTCCGGTGGTTCCAACGTCGAGATGGGCCCATGTCTGGACATTACCTACTCCGGAGTTGTAGGCAGCGATACCACCTGTAAAATTAAACGGAACCGAAAGTAGAGAAAATAAACGTATGTTCTTTGTTTGCGTTGGATTTCATTATCATATTTTATTCCTTGAATAACAACACTAAGAATGATCTCAAGATACCTAATGTTAGTGTTAATAAAATAACAGTCGAATCGGAGGCCCGGTTGCTCAAATAAACGGCACCATTCATTCACTTTCTTCTGTAAAGATGAATCATTGGTCGTTCATCTTATCCGTAATAACAACCTAAACCCCTTTAAACAGCAAAATATTAGAAACGTATCGACAAGGTGTACTTTTTTGACATTGAAAAGACCTACCTTGAAGTTGTTGTTCTTTGGACCATGTTGGGTGCTTGTGTGCCACTTGGTTAATGTAGGGCACCAAAACCTCACGAACCATTTGGGAAATATGCGCACAACTGTCCCACGCATGCGAGGTGCAGGAATGGTAGCGAATGTCACACTGAACGGACAGATTGGAGAGTGATCGTTAAACACAGGTTATAGTAATTATGAGTATTACACAGAGTGATTGGAGAGTGATCGTTAAACACAGGTTATATTAATCATGAGTATTACACAGACTGATTGAAGAGTAATAAATATATACAGGTAATATTATTCAGAAGTATTACACAGACAGATTGGAAAGTGATCGTTAAACAGAGGTAATATTATTCAGGAGTATTACACAGACAGATTGGAGAGTGATCGTTAAACAGAGGTAATATTATTCAGGAGTATTACACAGACAGAATGGAGAGTGATCGTTAAACACAGGTTGATATTTATATGAGTATTACACAGACAGATTAACGAGATAGTTAAACAAAGGAAACATTACACAGTATTACAGAGTGATTGGAGAGTGATCGTTAAACACAGGTTATATTAATCACGAGTATTACACAGACTGATTGAAGAGTAATAAATATATACAGGTAATATTATTCAGAAGTATTACACAGACAGATTGGAGAGTGATCGTTAAACAGAGGTAATATTATTCAGGAGTATTACACAGACAGATTGGAGAGTGATCGTTAAACAGAGGTAATATTATTCAGGAGTATTACACAGACAGATTGGAGAGTGATCGTTAAACACAGGTTGATATTTATCATGAGTATTACACAGACAGATTAACGAGGGATAGTTAAACAAAGGAAACATTATTCAGGAGTATTACACAGACAGATTGGAGAGTGATCGTTAAACACAGGTTGATATTAATAATGAGTATTACACAGACAGATTGAAGAGTGATCGTTAAACACAGGTTGATATTTATCATGAGTATTACACAGACAGATTGAAGAGTGATCGTTATATACAGGTAATATTATTCTGGAGTATTACAAAAACTGATTAGAGAATGATCTATATACACAGTTTGATATCATGCAAGAATATCACACAGATTGAGGTCGTTATATCAAGGTTATTATTGTACTGTAGAAATAGCCATACTCAGCAAACGAATCAGAGGTAGCAGTACACAGTTTCTCGGTGTGGCCATGGGTGATTTTTTTGCTCATTAGATTACCCCATTATAAAGGTTTTAATTAAAAATGAAAAAAAAAATCCTTGCTAAAATTGGTCCTGTCATGTTAAAGTGGAGAATGTGGGGTTTCATTTTTTCAGGATAATATTTTAACTTTGTGTTGGAGATTACTATTTGGGCAGTCTCGAATCTGTGTCTACGCACCAAAAACTAGCTTTACAGGAAGTGAAATTTTCATAGTGTTTACATGTGGTCATGTTATGAAGAATTTCCGAGTTGGAATTTGCTGAATGTAAGTACTTTGTTACCATGACAGTGTTGTTGATTGTAAGATAGGTGTTTAGAATTAAATCTCTCCTAGAAAGTTGTAGTGTTGGGTTTGAATTAGCAGTGACAATCAAATGTCAGAAATCAGAGGAAATTTTTTTTTTACACAAATTTCATCTCTCTACTGTTAATGTAATTGTTATGCAGTTTATAAATATATATACATGTAATGATGTATTTTTCATAACCAATCTGCTTTACCTGTATATCTCAAACATGACAAATAATTTCAGGAAAAATGCAAATTAACTGTTTACTGCTACCAGAGTGTGATCCTTATATGGAGTTTCAAATGGTATTAGAAATAAGGGTCAAAGGTCGTTATATGAAGGTTGTGATCTTAGTTGAGAAGAATCAACAGCGGATGTTGCTAGACATATTTATGAGAGTGGTCGTTATCTGAACGTTATTGTATTTGAAAATACAGGAAAGATAAATATATAATGGTTGTTACACACAGGTTATTCTTGAGCTTGATTTTGAAGAGTGGACGTTATGAGGAGGTATTTTATCATCATACAGCAATGTTGAAATGCGTCACACTTGAACCTCGTGAACATGTGACTTTAAAAATGCCGAAAAATTAATATTCTATGTACAAGTAGATGGCGTTACTTGAAAAAAGAGCAAATAATTACCTGCAGTATACCGTAGGCATGGTGATGGTCACCCCATCCATTTGTTGACGTCAGCAGACGACCTCCACGTGACTCGCGGCTGGCCAAGGCGGCTATGACCGCGGGCTGAATACCTGTTGTCAGGGAGACAGGTATTAAAGACAGGGACATGATACATTGTTACAGGTATTTACCACAGGGATATGATACATTACTACAGGTATTTACCACAGGGTAATGATACATTGTTACAGGTATTTACCACAGGGACACGATACATTGTTACAGTTATTTACCACAGGGACATGATACATTGTTACAGGTATTTACCACAGGGACATGATACATTGTTACAGGTATTTACCACAGGGACATGATACATTGTTACAGTTATTTACCACAGAGACATGATACATTGTTACAGGTATTTACCACAGGGACATGATGCATTGTTACAGGTATTTACCACAGGGACATGATACATTGTTACAGGTATTTACCACAGGGACATGATACATTGTTACAGGTATTTACCACAGAGACATGATACATTGTTACAGGTATTTACCACAGGGACATGATACATTGTTACAGGTATTTACCACAGGGACATGATACATTGTTACAGGTATTTACCACAGGGACATGATACATTGTTACAGGTATTTACCACAGAGACATGATACATTGTTACAGGTATTTACCACAGGGACATGATACATTGTTACAGGTATTTACCACAGGGACATGATACATTGTTACAGGTATTTACCACAGGGACATGATACATTGTTACAGGTATTTACCACAGGGACATGATGCATTGTTACAGGTATTTACCACAGGGACATGATACATTGTTACAGGTATTTACCACAGGGACATGATACATTGTTACAGGTATTTACCACAGGGACATGATACATTGTTACAGGTATTTACCACAGGGACATGATACATTGTTACAGGTATTTACCACAGGGACATGATACATTGTTACAGGTATTTACCACAGGGTAATGATACATTGTTACAGGTATTTACCACAAGGACATGATACATTGTTACAGGTATTTACCACAGGGACATGATACATTGTTACAGGTATTTACCACAGAGACATGATACATTGTTACAGGTATTTACCACAGGGACATGATACATTGTTACAGGTATTTACCACAGAGACATGATACATTGTTACAGTTATTTACCACAGGGACATGATACATTGTTACAGGTATTTACCACAATATTTGATTTAAATTATTTAGAAAGAAAGTACAAGGTTTTCGTTCATTAGTTCGTATACCTACTCCACGTCATTGTCGTCCCCGTCAGGTGATGTACTTACAGTGAGATGCTCCCGCCCCTGTCAGATGATGTACTTACAGTAAGATGCTCCCGCCCTTGTCGGTTGCTGTACTTATAGTAAGATGCTCCCGCCCCTGTCAGGTGATGTACTTACAGTAAGATGCTCCCGCCCCCGTCAGGTGATGTACTTACAGTAAAACACTGTCGCCCCTGTTAGGTGATGTACTTACAGTAAGATGCTCCCGTGTCTGTCAGGTGATGTACTTACAGTGAGATGCTCCCGCCCCTGTCAGATGATGTACTTACAGTAAGATGCTCCCGCCCTTGTCAGTTGCTGTACTTATAGTAAGATGCTCCCGCCCCTGTCAGGTGATGTACTTACAGTAAGATGTTCCCGCCCGTACCAGGTGATGTACTTACAGAAAGATGCTCCCGCCTCTACCATTGATGTACTTACAGAAAGATGCTCCCGCCCCTACCATGTGATGTACTTACAGTGAGATGCTCCCGCCCCTGTCAGGTGATGTACTTACAGTAAGATGCTCCCGCGCCTGTCAGGTGATGAACTTACAGTAAGTCACTGTCGCCCCTGTCAGGTGATGTACTTACAGTAAGATGCTCCCGTTCCTGTCAGGTGATGTACTTACAGTAAGATGCTCCCGCCCCTGTCAGGTGATGTACTTACAGTAAGTTACTGTCGCCCCCGTCAGGTGATGTACTTACAGTAAGTCACTGTCGTCCCCGTCAGGTGATGTACTTACAGTAAGATGCTCCCGCCCCTGTCAGGTGATGTACTTACAGTAAGTCACTGTCGTCCCCGTCAGGTGATGTACTTACAGTAAGATGCTCCCGCCCCTGTCAGGTGATGTACTTACAGTAAGTCACTGTCGTCCCCGTCAGGTGATGTACTTACAGTAAGATGCTCCCGCCACTGTCAGGTGATGTACTTACAGTAAAACACTGTCGCCCCTGTCAGGTGATGTACTTACAGTAAGTCACTGTCGCCCCCGTCAGGTGATGTACTTACAGTATGATGCTCCCGCCTCTGTCAGGTGATGTACTTACAGTAAGATGCTCCCGCCCTTGTCAGTTGATGTACTTACAGTAAGATGCTCCCGCCCTTGTCAGGTGATGTACTTACAGTAAGATGCTCCCGCCCCTGTCAGGTGATGTACTTACAGTAAGATTTTCCTGCCCCTACCAGGTGATATACTTACAGTAAGATGCTCCCGTCCCCGTCAGGTGATGTACTTACAGTAAGATGCTCCCGCGCCTGTCAGGTGATGTACTTACAGTAAGTCACTGTCGCCCCCGTCAGGTGATGTACTTACAGTCAGATGCTCCCGTGTCTGTCAGGTGATGTACTTACAGTGACATGCTCCCGCCCCTGTCAGATGATGTACTTACAGTAAGATGCCCCCGCCCCTACCAGGTGATGTACTTACAGAAAGATGCTCCCGCCCCTACCATTGATGTACTTACAGAAAGATGCTCCCGCCCCTACCAGGTGATGTACTTACAGTAAGATGCTCCCGCCCCTGTCAGGTGATGTACTTACAGTAAGATGCTCCCGCTCCTCTCAGATGATGTACTTACAGTAAGATGCTCCCGCCCCTGTCAGATGATGTACTTACAGTAAGATGCTCCCACCTTTTTCGGGAGATGTACTTACAGTAAGATGCTCCCACCTTTTTCTGGAGATGTACTTACAGTAAGATGCTCCCGCCCCTACCAGGTGATGTACTTACAGAAAGATGCTCCCGCCCCTACCAGGTGATGTACTTACAGTAAGATGCTCCCGCCCCTGTCAGGTGATGTACTTACAGAAAGATGCTCCCGCCCCTACCAGGTGATGTACTTACAGTAAGATGCTCCCGCCCCTGTCAGGTGATGTACTTACAGTAAGATGCTCCCGTCTCTGTCAGGTGATGTACTTACAGTAAGATGCTCCCGTCTATGTCAGGTGATGCACTTACAGTAAGATGCTCCCGCCCCTACCAGGTGATGCACTTACAGTAAGATGCTCCCGCTCCTGTCAGGTGATATACTTACAGTAAGATGCTCCCCCCCTGTCAGATGATGTACTTACAGTAAGATGCTCCCACCTTTTTCGGGAGATGTACTTACAGTAAGATGCTCCCGCCCCGTCAGGTGATGTACTTACAGTAAGTCATTGTCGTCCCCGTCAGGTGATGTACTTAAGTAAAACACTGTCGCCCCTGTTAGGTGATGTACTTACAGTAAGATGCTCCCGTGTCTGTCAGGTGATGTACTTACAGTGAGATGCTCCCGCCCCTGTCAGGTGATGTACTTACAGTAAGATGCTCCCGTCGCCGTCAGGTGATGTACAGTATGATGCTCCCATCCCCGTCAGGTGATGTACTTACAGTAAGATGCTCCCGCCATAGTAAGATGCTCCCGTCCCCGTCAGGTGATGTACTTACAGCAAGATGCTCCCGCCCCTGCCAGGTGATGTACTTACAGTAAAGATGCTCCCGTCCCCGTCAGGTGATGTACAGTAAGATGCTTCCGTCTTTGTCAGGTGATGTACTTACAGTAAGATGCTCCCGCCCCTACCAGGTGATGTACTTACAGTAAGATGCTCCCGCCCCTACCAGGTGATGTACTTACAGTAAGATGCTCCCGCCCCTGTCAGGTGATGTACTTACAGTAAGATGCTCCCGCTCCTGTCAGGTGATGTACTTACAGTAAGATGCTCCCATCCCCGTCAGGTGATGTACTTACAGTAAGATGCTCCCGCCCCTGTCAGGTGATGTACTTACAGTAAGATGCTCCCGCTCCTGTCAGGTGATCTACTTACAGTAAGATGCTCCCGCGCCTGTCAGGTGATGTACTTACAGTAAGTCACTGTCGCCCCCGTCAGGTGATGTACTTACAGTAAGATGCTCCCGTCCCCGTCAGGTGATGTACTTACAGTAAGATGCCCCCGCCCCTGTCAGGTGATGTACTTATAGTAAGATGCTCCCGCCCCTACCAGGTGATCTACTTACTGTAAGATGTTCCCGTCCCAGTCAGGTGATGTACTTACAGTAAGATGCTCCCGCCCCTGTCAGGTGATGTACTTACAGTAAGATGCTCCCGCCCCTGTCAGGTGATGTACTTATAGTAAGATGCTCCCGTCTCTGTCAGGAGATGTACTTACAGTAAGATGCTCCCGCCCCTATTAGGTGACGTACTTACAGTAAGATGCTCCCGTCCCTGTCAGGTGATGTACTTACAGTAAGTCACTGTCGCCCCCGTCAGGTGATATACTTACAGTAAGATGCTCCCGTCTCTGTCAGGTGATGTACTTACAGTAAGTCACTGTCGCCCCTGTCAGGTGATGTACTTACAGTAAGATGCTCCCGTTCCTGTCAGGTGATGTACTTACAGTAAGATGCTCCCGCGCCTGTCAGGTGATGTACTTACAGTAAGTCACTGTCGTCCCCGTCTGGTGATGTACTTACAAAAAGTCACTTTCGCCCCCGTCAGGTGATGTACTTACAGTAAGATGCTCCCGCCTGGTTGTAACATGATTTCTTATTGTTGAGATCGGCGTAATCATAATCCACATCATGGTTGGACGCAGCGACACCTGTGGGTAGGAATAAAGATTTATTCGATTTTTTAAAATGTCGTTAAAATCTTTTATTGAATACCATGTTGTAATATATTTATTTGATGAACACTATATCATCCTTTTTAATCCAACTGTTGAAAATTTATTTAGAGTATTAGAAGTTATTTGCAGTCTATTTGAAATTCAAACAATGGGAGGTAATTCATAAATAGAATTACTACTATACTAATACTTCCCTCCATTGTGTTTTCCAGTTGGATGTAGATGTCTGACGTCACCATGGCACGTGTACGATGCTGGAATATCAAGTATTGCAGCATGAAATTTAAATAACTTAATCTGTTATGACGGCACTATTTGTAAGTTTACTCGTATCAATGTATGACAAGAAAACATACCAAACCAAAGATATTAATTAAAATAAAATCTTGGCCTCAAAGTGTCCTGTGTAACTCATCGAAAGTCCATTTAATATAAAGTGAGTAAAATGATGACATAATGAATAGAAAATAAACTGAAATGTACCTGCCCATGCACCATTGCTGATGGCAAGAAGCGTGATTACTACCAGCAGGTTCATTGTTAGACTCGGGACAATCACGGGATAGTCAGGTGTGAAATGCCTAAAAGACTCTCCAGGGTCATTTATATGGTCGAGGTCTGTTATCTGTAGATAAATATAAAATCGTGCTGACCAAGGACGTTTATGGAATAACTATCACTGTTGATCACGTGTTCCTTTATGTCCAGTTTGTAGCTTTTTAAACGATGAATGTGAAATATCTTTGGTGGAAGGTGCCCTCTCCTCCCCACTACCCTTCCACTCACTTAAAAAAAATAATACTTTAGTGTGTGCAGCTTTTTGTTGTAGAACTTAGAACTTTAATATCCACTTGTCTCTCGCGTGCATGTAGTGGCACGTGTGAACCGTCCAAGGACTTTCCCATCCCCTCGTTTTCATAACAATGATAAATATATTAACCCGAACTCTTTCTTTGTATAGGATATTCCAATACATAACCTCGAGAGGTGAATGGTTTTGTGTTCCTAACTGACGATACGAAAGGACGGATGGATGCAGAGAGCAATTCTGATGTAACCTTTCATGGTTTACCTCCCTTAGAACCAAAAATCGTGATGACGCCAGGGTTACCTGGGATATTACTGACAAGCACCATGTTATCAAACGGTATCAGGACACATCCTTAAGTCTTTGTCATGAAAATCTCTTTTGTTACATAAAAAGATCACCTTTTTATTAGATCCGCTGGAAGAATCAATAAAACAATTCACAAAATCGCTGTTTGTGAAGCAAAGAAACCAAGATGGAGTGGTGAATCTGGAATTAACAATGAGAGCGGAGGCTGGGGACCAATTTTTGTTTGTTTTATAATTTCTCTGAATAAGTTAATCTCATATTTCACTTAAAACACGGATGATAACTAATTTGACTGGGGATAATTAAAAGCGGCTCCTGAAAATGTATCTATTATTTGCTTGGTTTGGCTAAAAGCTGTTAGTCGACATATACGGCGTGTGAATCAATCGAGTTGTCTCCCTTCACTTTATAAATAACAACTTTGTGCCGGACGTTGAGATGTAGACTAAACCTACTGGAAATCAAAATATAACTCAGTGTAATATAGTTTTTGATGCAATCCCTACTCCGTTTTTGTATAGGTAAGGGACTTTTGTCAACGCTACCTGATTTCAATACAAGTCTTTGTTCAATGCTAAAATACTGAGAACTCGTCTTATACCGGGAAGATGTAAAACTTTGTCATGTGTTCTGTTCTTTGAAAAATAAACCCGTTTCAAGAACAGACAGAAATGCTATATGTTTGTCATATCATTTGTCTGGTAATTTTTGTCAATATAGTTTGATACTTTTGAATTTCCATGGAATGTAAATTTTAATGTGAGATGAAAAAATATGTTGTTTATATTGCCTAACAGACTCTCCAAGGTCATTTATATGGTCGAGGTCTGTTATCTGTAGATAAATATAAAATCGTGCTGACCAAGGACGTTTATGGAATAGCTATCACTGTTGATCACGTGTTCCTTTATGTCCAGTTTGTAGCTTTTTAAACGATGAATGTGAAATATTTTTGGTGGAAGGTGCCCTCTCCTCCCCACTCCCCTTCCACTCACTTAAAAAGTAATAGTACTCTGGTGTGTGGAGCTTTTTGTTGTAGAACTTAGAACTTTAATATCCACTTGTCTCTCGCGTGCATGTAGTGGCACGTGTGAACCGTCCAAGGACTTTCCCATCCCCTCGTTTTCATTACAATGACAAATATATTAACCCGAACTATTTCTTTGTATCGGATATTCCAATACATAACCTCGAGGCGTGAATGGTTTCGTGTTCCTAATCGAAGATACGAAAGGACGAAAGGACGGATGGATGCAGAGAGCAAATCTGATCGTGTCGTGAATGATGCCCAGACTGCCTGGTTCTATTAATACCTGTCAGTGTACGCCGTGTAAATCACGCGAGTTGCCTCCCATTACTTGTAATATAATTATAATTATTTTGTGAACGACGTTGAGTTGTAAACTAAAACTCAGTCTAATTCATTTTTTTTTGCAATCTCACCTTCGTTTTCGTAAAGGAAAAGGATTGTTGTTAATGCTACCGGATTATACGACAGGAATAACGTCTTTTGCTAAAATACTGGCAACTGGACTGATAACAGGAAAATGCCAAACTTTGACATGTGTTTATATATATGTATATATATAATTCTTAGAAAAGAATTCCATCACAGGAAACAAGTACATAGAGAAATTTGTTCAGTTTTTAATTTCAATGGTCTGTTCTCTTATTTTATGAATTCAGTTTTATACTTTAATGAGTAAAAAAGAATTTTTGTTTATACCAAATCTGTACATTTTCTGTCATGTTTATAAAAGGAGCCTTCTTTAAAAGCGAGCTAAATGACAGGCAATGGCTAAAACATATATGGAGTTAATCTTGTTTCACAGATTATCGCCCTATCAACAGCCAGGATCATTTTGAAATACCTGATCACTGCTTCAGTGAATACTATGCGGAAGGTCCGTCGCATTCTTTCCAAAGAAATATGAATAAAACGTCTTGTCGGCTACATAACCAAGACTGCACATGGTGGTCTTAGTTTCGTGGGAAACATAGACCACCACGGGTGTAAATCTGTAGAAAAACGTGATACACTATTGAGTGAATTTCTGTACCCGGTTACATTATCTATGTAATTATGCATAAGTAAATTATCATTGTTTACAGAAAATGCTGTATTTTTTCTTAGTACACGCCTTGTGTCATGTTTACTTTATGTGTGTGATCTCTTGTTACACACGAAAGTGTGTCAGAGTAATTGAATAAAACCTTGAAAAACTTAGTAAGGGTCGAACCACACTTGCTTGTCAAAACAGTCATGAAATTTATGGATCGGATAAACTAGAAAGAAAAGCTATGTAAAGAGATACTATGTAATATTTTAGAAATACATGTAGTAAGGCACAGTTCAAGATACTATAAAATCTTGTATTTCCACGGGGTTCAATTTACGTAGTTTATTGAAAATTCTCTGCTTCGTGGTCTTTTGATTTCGTGGCTAAAACTAGGCCCATAATGTTCCTTAAGTAATTTGAACAGTTCGAGGACATAATGAATTTGTGGACTTAGTGAACCAATGAATCATGACCGCCTCCCCCTCTGAATCCGAGGCATCGTGATTTTTTCCTTATCTTTAATACCACACTGTAATTAACGATCTGATTGGTTTAAATGCGTTGATTACGTCATGTCCCTATACCACCTTTTCTTACACATTCTAACAAAACCCATTTTGTTTATACGAGGTTTAGTCCTTACTGATATCAGTCAAGTTTCCACCTTTTGTCCTTCCCTGTGAAGTAAGCCTGCTGTCAATCTTCGTCCCTTCAGTCGAACAGTGGTAGTCAACATTAATCTCGTATGGTTGACGTCAATTCTTTGTAGTTCAGATGTATGTTATATCCCTTCGTTTCACGTACTCGATAGAAACACGTTCAACGTATCGAAGTATGTAAGAGAGCATTGTTTGGTGTACGGGGGAGTGATGTTAGAGTTAATTCTATATTTCAAATATACATTATTTTTAAGAGGCATCCATCATGACATTTTGAAAATTTAAAGCATGTTTCAGATATTTAACTCCATGTATTGACAGATATCAAGTATGTCTGAGATATACCCCACATATTGAAACATATTGACATATATGGAAAATACATGGACAGTGTCTTAAAATATAATATGTATTTTGGTGAGGACGAAGAAAGACAAAAGTAACGAACCTCTCACGAGCAAGTTTTGTCTTTCTGTCCCGAGCCAAAATACAGCTTATATTTTAAGACAATTGCAATGTATTCTATTTATCTTGCAACATTGACTGAAAATCAGACTATAGAACATTAAACAGTTTTGTTTTTCAATCTGTGTTTACCTGACATAGACGTTACATTGAATTTTGCCTGATGATGGACGCTTAAATAATCGCGGAGACGTAGCTCCAAACTTCATCGGATATAACAGCGATTTTATGAATTCTCATCAATCGACTTGTTCATTAAAACAAGTAATAATTGCTTATTCCAACAACTATATATATATATCGAAACGTAATATTCAAGAAAATTCGGAGAGTAATTCCGTCGAATTACCGCACGTGCTAAAATACAGCTGTTTTCAGTCACTGCCGAAAACAACAAAAATATATGTGGCAGGCGTCTTTCGATAATGGAGGTGCCAGTCGCAGGGTATGTCTACTTTTTCTGAGATATACTTTACATTGACAGATGTGTAATATGATTTAGAGTTTCTCAAATCGTTAAAAGCTGTTCATAGCAGGTGATATAAAATGTGTTTGACAGATATTGACCAAATTTTGAGAGGTACCCCACGTCGTTGATGATTGTCCACAGTACATGCCAATTTTTTGCAGGGGATTCCCCTCTTCTGTACACTATTTGCCTGTCTATCACCTGTTAAGTTATTCCCAGACCTGCAGAGCTTCAATTCCACGGCTAACTATTATGTGTGAAAGGGTCACTCCAGTCAGGTAACAGTGAGCAAACACTTACCCGCAACCGTCATATCATGTAACGTGTTTGTCTAGCGCACACATATTTGATTTCAGCGTTGCATAGCTCCATTACGTTGAAATAACTTCCTGTTTCACTGATCACACAAAATCCACTGATATCTAATTAAACTACAATGAAAGTTTTTAGTTCCATTTCAATGAATTTCTAAGATTAGTTTATATTTTGAAGTCTGCTATTTATCAGTAATAGTTTTAAGGCATATGGTTTTTAAAAGACTTCACCAATATACATTTTATGTCGTGACTTTTGTACATTGACTTTCCCAAAGATTACTATTTTTTCTCTGTCGATAACGCTATACCAGACAATACCCTACTGTAGATACTATAGTTAATTATTTGACTGAGAATGGCCAAATTGATTCTCTTTGCGTCTATTTTTGGACGACTTTTCAAAAACGACAAGAAAATCCCATTTGTTTGGTTTGTCATTCTACTATGTTCT